AAACTGGCTGCTCTGATATTGCATGTGATATGTGTGTATCCTTCTGCAAAGTCATTCTTAACTGATCTTTAGATCCTATAGTTACAGAATGTTGATTGTCCTGATAATTACAATCTGCAGACACATATTTACAAACACTTCAGGGAAAGTGCCTTTGTATGAAATTCAGCAAGTCTGTTTAGAAACCTTATATGAGTTTTTAAACTCTAATGTTTTTAACCTTTGTAGTAGAAACTCTAATATTTAAAAATATATATCAGTGAAACAATTTGATAACAAAGCAGAATTTTTTTTTTATTAGAAAGTATTATGGCCCAAGGCCATAATATAAGAATACTATATTCATATTATAATGTAATAGCAAGTGATATTTAAATTCTTAAGACTGTGTTCTTCCTAAAGGATTTCACATCATACAATTTAATTCTGAAAGGAGGCATTAACTATTAAGAGGCTTTAGATTTTAAATTATCAATCATCTACTCTTTGCCCTAATATGACAAAGGAAATAATTTAATTTCTTGCACACTTTAGGATTTATCAAAACACTCAAAAAGCTTTGAATGTTAGAAAGTTAAATTTTTATGCTATTTTAAAAAACTGGTAAATAATAGAGTAACAATAGGATTTACTCAAACTATATTACTAGCATGATATTACCTAATGCATGACACATTGGTCATTTATTAACAAACAACTCATCTGTTCTTTTGACACAGATTGTGTTAGTAACCCAATATATGTCATGTACTAGTCTGATTTTTAAAAATAATTTTCTATGAATTATTTTGTTTTTAAAGCTAATTAGCAAATTTTGTACTTATTACTTTCATACCTTAAATGAAATTTTCTAAACTCTTCAGTGGATCCAATTCAGTATTCAGGTAAGAAGCTCCCCAGCCTTAGTGATATGGTATTAAGTTAAAAGTTCATAAAGTAACAATAAGATTTACAATTTTTATGACAAATACTGTTTAAGAGAAAATTTTCTTTTTATAAATTAGAAATGTCTAAAAGATTTTTAAATATCTGACTTGCTAGTGATGAAAAATAAGAGTAGTTTAGTGTGGATAAATTGTTTGTTGATCATGTTACATATTTTCTCTATTTGCATATATGTACATATTTTTAGATGTTGTTTTTATGTGTATGAAACTTATATGCGAGCTTACCTGATTTCCAGTTTTGTGATTTGGGGAATTGTGATCATTTTGATATTTTAAATATAAACACTGAAACCTGAAGTATAATTATTGTCTCATTGCAACTTGCCTTTTATTCATTTATATGTACAATATTTTCATTTTATTGCCACAGTCTTTGAAAGTAAAATCACACTACATTTATAGAGATTGAGTCATCGTTTCTCATTTTATTACATTGTTAGTTTTACATTGCTGAATTTCACACTGACATCAGAGATTTTTAGTTAAATAGAAGAAAGAGAAGCCTATTAGACTCAAGGGCAGGAACAGAATTTTGATGTCTACTGGCCCTTGATCTTACCTATTCAGTCAAACAGGAGAAGAACAAATTTTCAAATTGATATCCCTAGAAACAAGAATATCTATGCTGGATTTTGCATTTGGCTACAACTTACAGTCCACTAAAGAGCAGCTCTACTGGATGCTGCATTATTTCTGAGAAGTCTGGAATTATCTATCAGGTTACCAATAAAATCTGGAGTCCAAGGGCCTCCATAGTATCTGACACAGCTGGGAAGAAAGTCTGAGGAGGTGAAATGATAAAGTCGTATAACTCACATGGTACATTGATGGGCATTAAAACCACAGATGCTGATACATGAACATATACCCAACCCAGTTTCCCAGAAATGGGATTTGTGAAGCAGACAATGGTTGATGCAGTGGTCTTCTCAAAACTGATGAGTTAGGCAGAACCAGACTATATAGGGCCTTTTACACCATATCAAAGATTTTAGTCCACATTATATGACCAGTGAGACCTCTTGAAGCAAAGGGGTTAAGCTCAGGATAATAAGGTGCCAGTTTATGAGAGGTCCTTATTGTAGAGTGGAAGATCATGAATTATGGTGTAAACTTGTTTTGTTTAAGAGTCTATGAACAGTGTTTTGCTCATGTGGAACCTGAGCTCAAGGGAGAGTTCAGATCTAGAACATTTAATTAGAATGGATTTCCTAGGAAAAGAATTTAGACCCAAGAGAAGCAGAATAGGCTACAAAGAGGAACAAGCACACTGAATTTATATAGTGGATATCTAAAAGGATAGAATAAATATAGCCCATAATTTAACTCTCTTCCTCCTCTTATCATATCTTACTCTAAGCATTTTGGTACAACTCTGAGCAAAAAATTGTTAAGCAGAATGTGTATGGAACAGTATTATTTCTTGAACCTAGATCAGTGAAATGTCACTAAGCTTTTTGAAAATGGCTTTGTAACAAATATTGTAACGTTTTTAGTTTATGGTATTTTGCCTACATTATACACCAAACTTAGACTATTTGTGCTATCATTAGAATCATATTTTATCTTAGAAAATTACACATGTTCTTACAAATTCCATGAAATCTTTTGTATCCAAATCAACCTTCTACCGCCTCATTATTTTCTTTACTTGAGTGTTTTATAGTATAATTTCTGAAACTTAACATGTTGAACTCCATCCAGCTTTCCCTTAAACCTTTTCTCAAATCTTTTTCCATCAAGTCAGAAAGCTTAGAACCCCTTTATTCTTACTTCTTCCAAATCTTCACATCTGATCCACAACCAAATATCAATTCTGCTTCTAAAATGTTTCTCTGGCCTGTCTAGGTCACCATATACATGGCCATCATTCTGCTCCAAGCTGTCGCTGACATCTCTTACCTGAATTACCATGGTGCTCTCCTCAATTTTCTCTCTGGTTTCCTTCTTGCTGCCCCCTCTCTGAGCCATTCTTTTTATAGGTACTTAGGTATTTTCTTAAAGGAAGGTGAATCAGTGTGCTCCCTTGCTTAAAACCCTTGCATTATTTCTTTCAGTACTTAAATTAAAACTTTTTTTTCTGGTTTACAAAGTCCAGCACATGTGGATCCCAGTCCACCTTGCCCTTTACTATGCTTTCCCCTGCCCTGGATGACCCTGTCCCAACACGTTCTGTGCTAATTCTACATCTTCATATTTCAACTTAAATGCTGAGCCTTTCTTTTCAGATGTTTCTTCTTCTTGGTTTGTCAACACAGTCTTCTCTTTAGGCTTGATCCTAAATGACAGAACAACCAGTGCAAAGCCTAAATCTCAGATGACCATGAACTAAAATTACTTAACTTCAAAATCATGAGATTGGTTGATAAAGTGTTTGGACAAGAGAATCTGTCCACAGAGCCAAACAGTTCTGTGGGGTCAGGTGCATGGAGTACTACATACATGGCATGCCCTGGGTATGAGGCCATGTGTTACAGTCCCTGTGTTTGCTCCACGTCCTGCCTCTTCATTGCTTGCTGCAAGGACAGATGGCCAAAAATTGTATTGTTGGATGCCTGTAATCTGCTTAGCAACTGCCTGAGTATATATACATGGTAACTGCAAAATAAAATCAGACCTCCTTCCTGCTTGGTCTCCGGAGGTCTTAAATAGCGACTCTGCAGCCACACTCTTCTCTACCTGTTCCATGGACCTCCTCACTGGACGAGAGAGAACCCATGCAGTTCAAAAGAGGCATGCTTTGCAAGAAGCAAACCTCTACTGTACAAGTTACTGACTCATTTAGATTTCTAGACTAATTTCAAAAGTACTTATAATGCCATTGGCCCAGCTCAGCAGTGGATTCCTTAGGGCTCAGTGAGAGCAGCATACAGGGGACCCGTGCCTGATTTCTTGTTGGGCAGGATGAAAGAAAGAATGTGAATTTCAGCACTAGTTAAACATGGCCCCAAATCTCAGCTCTCCCACTTGGTGGTCAAACTTGGGCAATATATTGCTTCTCTTGGAGCCAGTCTCTAATCTCATGGACTGTGGTGAAGAATAAATGATGCAATGATTTTAAGGCACCTAGAAAAAAAGGAAGGCCTGCAAACGATTCTAATCATTGTCTACTGACAGTATTTATCCTTAGGAAAAATTTGCCATTTTTAAAAGTAATTTATATCAACTTAGAAACTAGGTAGTATGATACACTTAAACTTTGGAAAGAATTCACACACTGACTAGAATTTCTCCCTGGCTTCTCTTGTGAAAGTAGCAAGAGAAAAATGATTCTGTGTCTGAAACAAAGATAAATGTTAGAGAGAATATAGTTTCTTTTAGTCTTTATTTGATCTTTTCATTCTCTCTGAAGACATAGTCTCAAAGAATGAGGAAATCTTCAAAAGCAGAATAGAAACACTGGCATTGACACATGGAGACCTTTGTGGCTTTATGTTTACCAACTGATTTTTCTTTTAAGCCATAGATAGCAAAATGTCAAAAGTGAAATTGGGAGGCAGCAGCCTTCCATGTTGAAGCCTGGAGAAAAACCTTAGGTCAGTGTGACTCACACAGACAGGTGTTACTTTGGCACATGAGGTTTTCCTATTTTCGTGAGGTATGTGTCCCTATTTCATTTCTGTTGTCAAATGTTTTACATTTTAATCCTGTCATAGGTTTTGGATTAAAAACTTGTTACATTGATCATCATACTCAAGGAAATTTTTAGGCCCTAACAGATTAAATCTAGTAGCTATGTGTCACTCTTTGGCCTGGACAGAGCAATGATACATTTTTTTACTTCCATAAAGGATTTGTCAGCTGGGGGTGTAATCTCAGCAACTTGGGAGGCTGAGGCTGGAGAATCCAGAGTTCAAAGCCAGCCTTGGCAACTCAGCAAAACCCTGTCTCTAAATAAAATATTTAAAAGGTATGAGGATGTGGCCCAGTGGCTCAGCACCCCTGGTTTCCATCCCTGATACAAAAAAAAAAAAGAAAGAATTTGTCAGAAGCACCAACCATACTGTTTTTTTGTTGTTGTTCATTGATTTTACTTTCATCTTCTTTTTCTAGGATTATGACAGTTTTTTTGAATCGAAGGAAAGCAACACTGTCTTTTCATTCTTAGGCCTGAAACCACGATTGGCATCAAAGGTAGGTTATTTTTTTCTCCTTTTTGCTTTAAAATTCATCTTTCTTGAATTGTTCTTAGAGATAGAGGTTGAAAGTGTTAAAGAAATGCACAGATAGTCTCTATTCATAATTATAGACTATCTAGTATTAAGACACACAAAGATGCTTAGGTTTTTCTGTTTCCATTGTCAGTCATTGCCATAAATTAGGACATTGATTTACTTATAATTTAGACCTCATTCTTCCAAGAAGACTTAAGGTAGCAAAAAGTAGTAGCTGTTTTCTATTTTAAATTGCAGTTTTTATCACAGTTCACTCTCTGCATTGGTGGATTAAAACACAAGTCAAGAATATAAGCCGGTGTGCTGGCACAGCCTATAGTCCCAGCGGCTCAGGAGGCTTGTGAGTTCAAAGCCAACTTCACGAAAAGCAAGGTGCTAAGCAACTCAGTGAGACCCTATCTCTAAATAAAAATACAAAATAGCGCTAGGGATGTGGGTCAGTGGTCCAGTGCCCCTGAGTTCAATCCCTGGTACCCTAACCCCAAAAAGAATATATGAAAAGAAAACTGCCTCTGCACTGAACATGTACAGTTATTTCTTCTTGTCATTATTTCCTAAGTAACACAGTATAACACCTGTTTACCTCATGTTAGGTATTATAAGTTATCTAAGGCTGATCTGAAGTATATAGGTAGGTGTGCCTACATTATGTGCAGATATTTTCTCTAAGGAACTTGAGTATCTGCAGATCGAAGGGGGGGATCCTAAAACCAATCCCCCACAGATACCTAGGGACAATTGTACTTTAAATTTTTTGTGATAGCACAATCAAGGCCATATTTGAAAAGTCTTAAGCACATTTAGCTTTTTTACATTGAAGGAAGGGTGTTCTATGATAAGTGGTCAGCCTTGGAAAAAATACTGCAATTCCTAAGCCATTCAAAATATTTTTAAAGCCCCTTTATTAAGTCATATGTCTTTTGGAAAGCCTAAAGGACCCAGGTTGTATCATATTTAAAATTTATAGTTATAAATTTTTTCATAACTTAATTATATGTATTTAATAAATTAATTTCAAAATTAAAAAGATATTAAGTCAGATAATATTTTGATTATTTGATTTTTATAAATAGTACTTATTTCTGATTATAAAAATAACCTAGACTCACTTAGAAAATTTGGGAAAATATGAAGAAAGTATAAAGTAGAACATAAAAATCACTACCCCAAGCTATTCACATTGACATTTTTGTGTTTCCTTGCTATCTTTATATATATATAAAAAGATATATAGTAGCTGAGGTTTTGACTATATTTACAATAGAGACTGAATTCTAAAGTGTGTGTGTATGTGTGTTTTTCACACAATTGAAATGGAAGTACATTACTGGGAGTTTTATTGTCTATAAGTAATAAGTCTTTTGAGACTACCCAGGATCTCTACGATTTCTGGAACACCTGTGGGAGGAAGGCAGAGACATCAATAATGTAAATTATACACCAGTACCTGCAGTGCATAGCCAATGTGAAATCTTGCTTTGTTTTCACATCCGCAAGTCAACAGATGGTTGTGGGTGGTTTCCATGTACGAGTTTTAAGTAGAGACAAAACCCACACATAAAGTATTTACAGGTTCTTAAAAACTATTTTTATGAAGATGTAACATTTGAATACTTGTTAAAAAATTAGAGTATTTTTATAACATGTTTCATCCAAACATATTAAACAGTACAGATTTATCTTCAAAGAACTAGAAAAACTGGGGTAGGGAAAATCTAATGAATGTATAAACCCAGGGGATACCGTGATCTATGTAAAAGCCTTTTAAAAAACACTGTGTACTTGCCATCTTTGTTCTTTTTCCCCAAAGATGTAGGTTCCTTAGACACTCTGCAGTCTGACTTTTTAATTCTTTAAGCCATTTAGGCCTGGGGGTGTAACTCAGTGGTAGAGTACTTGCCTAGCCTGCATGAAGACCTGGGTTCCATGCCCATCACTGGCCCCATGCCCCCAAAGTAGGAAACAAAATTTATTCTGTCTAGAACTTCTTAAGAAATCTATTATCTATAAAATACACATTCTCGCATGGCTTGTGGCCACAGTGTTAATGTTGGTCTTGGTGCTATTGCAGCTGAGTTGATTTGAGTGGACCAAGTTCAAAAGCAGTAAGGGCCTTGGGCAGCCCCACCCATTCAGCCAGCCATCTTCAGTTCCATGAATGAGAACTACTGGGGCAGGAGCACTTGGGATCAGAGCAGATGTCCATAGTGCAGTGTCTGTGTTGCTTGCTCTCACAAATATTCAGGGGCTTAGAGGTTAAGAGCAGCTTAGACTACAACTTTATATGAGAGAAGGGAAACTAGGAAAAATTTAGCCTTTTCTCCCCATTTTAGTGACTTATTATTCACTTTGGTAATAATCCATTACATGGTCTACAGATTAAGGCTTTGACAGCGTGTTCACAGATTTGATGTACCAAAAGATGAATCCCCCTTTTCTTATCTCCTTTCCTACTCCTGATGCAGTATGCACACATGAAAGATAAGATAAGAAAGCCATCCAGGAAACATAAGGATGCCGTTAGCATCTATAATTGCTCCACAAATGGGAAAAGAGCATTCATGGGCCCCACAGGCACAGGTGCAGTGTAGATTCCAAGTAAGCTGCTCCCAGAAGTAAACGGAGCAGAGGAAGCCTGGAAATCACCAAATGGTGTCTTGCAGGCCACATTAGCTGTGGATATGTTATCTGTCTAGTGCAGAATTTTTGAAAGTCAAAAGTAAATGGGTTGCTAATATTTATTTAATTTTTTAATTTGTTCTTATTTGTTATACGCGATAGTAGAATGTGTTTTGACATATTATACATATGTGGAGTATAAATTCTCATCCTTCTGGTTGTACATGATGTAGAATTACATTGGTCGTGTAATCATATAAGTTGCTAATATTTAAAATGCAGATTTTTATGCTTTTCTTGAAGTTGGGAGGTGTAGAAACTCAGGAAAAGGGAACACTTTCCCCTGTGAGTGGCTGGAGCCAGCAGGGGCTGGCCCACCATGGTACTTATGCAAGCACGAGAAAAGGAGGCCTTCTTGCTAATAATTTTATGTTGAAACTCATCAAGTTTGTTATTTTAATAGACTAAGAAGAGCCTGTTATAGAAGTTTTTGCTTCCTGATCTTTGCCATTCAGGGGTGATATTTAGAATACTTAACAGAAGGAAATGCTGCCAGAGTTGGAGGCTATGGAGGCCTCCTGTGCCAGGTGACAGCTGTTTAGCAGTTGGATCATGGCTGGAGAGGAGTGGAGGGGCACTTGGGTGATTGGAGCAGCGACTATTTACTAGCAGTTATGGCCATACCAATGCTGTTCTTCACATAGGGTCAGCATAAACCAGTGCCTCTGGAAGCCCCCTGAGTGAGATAATGCTCACCCATCCATGAGCTAGTAGAACGGTACCATTAAGAGGAGACTCAGTGGGATGTTGCTTTCTACTTTTTATATTTGGCAGATTGGATGAGTGTGATTTAAATCTGGGCTCTGATCCCAAAACCCAGGATTTGCTCTTAACAATCACTTGGGGGGTAATGTATTTCCAACATCTCTGTTCTTGACATTTAAAAAAAAAAAAATACTGCCAAGAGCAAATTTTCTTGTCAATGTAATGCAGTGCTGTAACTGGTGTTTTTGTTTGTTTTTCTTAACAGGCAGAACCTTAGTGAGGCAAAGTGGAAGGTGACGGAGATGCATTTTGGAGCACCCATTGGTACTCGGCACACACCTGCTTACCTAATGCATCACTGTGACAAAAGCCACATGCATCAGTAACTTTGCTTGACATGAAAAGGGTGTTTTTGGAAGATGTGGGTATAATGGGGATTGCATGATTGCTTTAAACCAAATCAGGACTGTGGTGGATTTTTTCTTCCCAATTTGCCTGCAGTTGCCTCACTCACCTGAAAGTACTGTCTTCTGTTACGGGTGTGCTTCCTTAATAACTGATAGACAAGTGGGTGGCACCATTAGAGAGAAAATGTTGGGTCTGCCCTAGGATATAGTAGATGCCAGTATTGCATAAACCTACTTCTCTTTAAGCTGCTTGGATTGCATCCTTGAAATTAGTCTGCCAGGCTTATTAGAATCTTTGAATAAAAAAGAAAAAAGCAATGCTGATTGACAAAAGGGCATTGAAGATTTTTGCTACAGAATCATAAACATCACTGCTCCAGTGCTTTGTAATAACACCTGTTGAAAATGTCAGATGTTCTAGATTCCTTTTTGTAATGGAAACTCTTAACCCTCACAAATCCTCTAAGCTCCTACAGATGTTTCCAGAAATTACTGTTGCAATATTGCATGATCACAACCAAGTTACAGGGATGAAGATAATTACTATTGCAAGGGGAAAGTTTTACCTAAATGCACAAGACTGCTTGAAAGATATATTTTAAGAGGTGCACTAATTAGATAGTCAGTTTATAGGGAAATTGTCTGATTTGTATCTGAAGGCATTTCAGCTTTAGCAATTTATATATACATAAGTGCACATATATTTTTTAAATTCAGCTCCCCAACAGCTGCTTATTCTATTTTGTGAAAGGATTATATTTTTTTGAGAAAGGAAGATCTCAGTTAGATATATTTTGTGGACCCTTGATGATGCATATTAAAAGATACCAATATTGCTATAGAATTAATTTTTTTCTTATGTTACTTTTCATTGTTCTACTATTTTTCTCATCTAGCCACAGTCTCATACTTTTCAGAGTAAAATCGATACACATTCTTACTTCATATATAAGCACAAGTGAGTTTTCAGAGCAACATATATGAGAAGGGGGCTGTCTAAAGAGTAACTCTGAATTGTATTTGGCAAGCAGATCTGCTCCCATTGGAGTGGACACTGATAAACACTGAATATGTTACTTTATTAGGGCAGAGGTGACTTTTCCATATCCTTATATTTTTTAAGGGTTTTGAATTGCCAAACATGGAACAGCCTTGAATATGATAAACTCTAAGAGGGATGACTAAAATACTCAATTATTCCTAGCATCCTAATACTAGACCTTTTATTATGATACTGAGAAGGATATGTGTAAGAAATTGAAAGAGCAAATGAATTAAAACATCACATACCCTGCCCCCATACCTTGATAAATGTGTACTATTCTAAAGCACTTTTTGAATGCTGAAGCTGAAATTCCAGCCTGATATTTGCAGTTCAGGACTACAGTCAGACGGAAAGCATGACAGAGTTCTTCTTGACTGGAAAATATATGATCTGCAGTTTTCTCTCCAAGGAAAGCTGTTGTCAAATCATGGGTATTACTGGTTAGTTGATATTAAACAAGATCCAGGTCATATTCCATTTGATATATCCCAGGGACTATCCAGGAATGTTTATTTCTAACTGGATATTGTATTTGAGTATGTTAGTATGTGAATCTTCTGCTAAGACTTATAAGTTTTTTGTTTTGTTTTTTAGTATGAACCCAGGGGTGCTTTTACCACTCAGCTGCATCTCTCTCTCTCTCTCTCTCTCTCTCTATCTCTCTCTCTTTATTTTGAGACAAAGTCTTACTAAATTGCTCAGGCTGGCTTCAAACTTTCCATCCTCCTGCCTCAGCCTCCGGAGACACTGGGATTACACCATCCAGTGGTGTAATTTCTTTTTAAGATACAGCAATTTTTAAAGTTGTCATATTGTAATTATTCAGTTTACATTTAGTCTGCTCTTATAAGTGAGTGCTGAGAACCAACTTAATAAGGTTGAGGCTTTGCAAATTCTAGGATTGTAATATCAATACCATGATTGCTAACCAGAGAAAGCCACCCAAATTTGTCTGATAACTTTCAAATTAACTATAATATGCTTAGTATGATTATATTAAACATAATGCTAAACCACTAACAAATACAAACCATCTTACTATGATTTTGGGAGGGGGCTATAAAGAAGTACAAGAGAACACCCTCAGGTGGCAGTGTCCTTGCTAGGATAGACTAGAAGCACAGTGTATGGAATCTACCACAGTATCCAGGCTCCACAGAGTACTGAAGTATTGCCCTCCAGGACTACCCTGTTTATAGAGAATATAGTGTCCTTAATCGTACTCCTACCAGCTGAATTCCAAGCATAAAGTAATGATGTTCTTATTTCCTTTAACTAGCTGCCTTTCATTTTGATAGTCCCAGTCTTTAAAACCCAGGAAAGAAGTGGATTTGCAGGCATAGATGTAATAAACAAGGATATTTCAAGACAGAATTTTAGTTTCCTATAATAGGTTCCTTAGGTTGCTAAAAATCAAATATGCCATTTTAAAATCATCTAAAAATATAGAGTACCATCTTTCAAGGTGTATGCAGACCAGAAGAAAATTTACTTGGGGAAATAACTTGTTTTTCCAAATTCTGATGTTTTATTAAAATCAAAGAAGAGAAAAGGAAGGTATTTTGCCCTCAGACTCTAATATATTTGAAATTTTTTTCTGTTTTATTCATTAATTCAACACTTATGCGTAGATGTTTTTGTAGCACATGAATTTAATAATGAACTGAACTTATTTTTATCTTTTTATTATGGAAAGGTACCAAAGTTTCTTTCTGTTTTGTTTCATTTGTCTGATTTTATTGTGGGACTTTGCTTTTTCCTAGAAATGCTTTTCATTTAACAGCTTTTCTTAAGTGTCAGGATCCACTTCAATCTATATAATTATTGTTTTTTAGATATCAGTTTGTATGTGTTTGTCTCTTAAGGCATTGATATTTATACTCAGCATTAAAGAAAAATGAATTCCAGAAAACAAGTGTTCTAAGATGGAGTTTTATTTCCTCCCTTTTATCACATTTTCTAATTTTAGTTCTAGGTTTGGCTGAATCCTTTCTGTTTAGCTGGGAAGATTTGTTTTTACTCCTCTCCACAAACCTGTGCATAAAAGAACCTGTGCATGAAAGCTGCAGATTTGGTTGTAAAAAAAGAAACAATGCAGATATATCATGTGATCATTTGAGGAACCATGCAGGTGGTCCTGCCTGTGTTGGGAGGGGAACACAGAGTCATCTCATACAGTGACCAGTGATAGTGACCAAGGACAGAGTTAATCATTCAGCCACTTCCTTGGTTCAGTTCCCTTTGTGGTCTCAAGTGAAGCCATAGTTGATGGATATGGTCCCCTGTTGGTTGCAGAATACAAGGACAGGTTAACCACTACTTATTCTGCCAGGGTCCCTTTGAGGCAGCCAATCACCTTTGAAAGCAGAAGAAAACTTTGCTGAAGGCAGTAGCTGAGGTTGCTTTTATCACTAAACTATGTCAAACCTTAGAACACCAGGATAGAGGGAGGGTGGAGGGAGGGATCAAAGGGAACAAGCTGTAAATTTGCAGAAATGTGCTAAATCATGAAACCAAATAAGCAAAATGACCACTGCCTTCTTGTGTCTCAGATCTGCAAAGTTTTCCTACTTCTAGAAATGCATGATTGGCTGTCCTTTCTATCAGCATATATTGAGTCCTTAAAATGTAATGGATTCTATCCGAGCAGGACAGTAGTCTCCACCCTCAAAGATGAAGCAGAAATAAAAGCAGCAGTTACGTCCAGTGGTAAATGATAGAGTTGGGTAAGTTCTTAGCACTCCAAGCTGTGGTTCATCTGAAACATTACATGTAATCTTTTTCTTTTTTAAAACCATTTCAACTTTCAAAATTTCATACTTGTAGTGGAATACACATAGACACCTACATACACACACATATGTGTATATATATATATATATATATATATATATATATATATATATATATTAAAAATAAAGCATAATAATAAACAAATCCTTGTGTGCCTGCCACCTACCTTACTGCCTTTTTGTGAAGCACTGTGTGTTGTTCCCCCAACCTATCCTCCTCCTTGTCCGATAAAAGAGCCCTATCCTGCTTTCATGCTGATCACAGCCTTCCTGTTCTTTATCATTTTGTTTTCATGTATGTATCTTTAAAGAATAATAAATGGAATTTAGCTGGATATATCGTCTGTCATTTCCTTTTTACATTTATTGCAATGGGAGTTTTTACTACTAAATATTGCATTGTATGAAAATATCCCATAGAAATAGAAATAGAAAAGGAAATGTTGCTATGAACATTCTTTTGTTTGTGACTTGTGGTGCACATACCTAAGAGTGGACAATATACCTTGAATAGAATTGCTGGGTTGTACAATAAAAACACATCATCAGCTGTAATTGATAAGGTCAAATTGCTTTTCAAAGTAATGGTACCAATTTAATGTTCCCACCAGAATGCCAGAATTTCCAGGACTGTAGATCCTGGCCTACATTTGGCATAGTCAAATTTTTGCCAAGTTGGGTATCATAAAATGGTATCTCATTGTGGTCTCGCTCGGCATATTTTCTCCTATTACTAATTTGAATGTGCTTAATATAGAAATTTCTATTTCTTCTTCGAAGAAATCCCTCTTAATGTCTTTTACCTTTGTTTCTTCTTCAGTTGTATTTTTGCTATTAATTTTAAATTTTTCTTTATACTTTGATTTTATTGGTCAATACTGATTTATCTTTTTGTTTTTATTTGTGATGCCAGGACCTTGCATATTCTAGGCAAACACTCTACTACTGAGCTGTACCTCCAGCCCATGATTTAACCATTAAAGGGAAGACAAACAGATTAAAAATAGAAAAATTTTCTGAAGCAATTTCCAGAAATATGAAAAGCATGTGAATCTTTATTCTATTTGCAGAAAATAAAGTTGAGTGCATATATTATATGCTTCTTGCATATTGATTTTCAGTGTGTCAGCATGTCAGCCAAGAAATATACTTTTGGTACTTTTCTTTGCTCTAGGAGGGTTCTTTCTCTAAAGCTATTTTAAAGCTTATTAGCTCCAGTTATTTGGCAGGAAATTAACATGATTAATGTTATGGTTTAGTTTTTCTGCTACAGGACTTTACCAAAAGAAAATCTTTACATAGACTTGATGTTTGTATATACTTGTTTCCTTAGTTTGTCAAAATGTAATGGGCCTGTAGCAATAAGTTACAATGATGATATACTTAAAAACATTAAAATTATTACTCTAAGTCATAGGAGATTGTATTGAACCTCTGCTTATTATCAGTGAATAATTAAGCTGAGTAAGATGGATCAATGTCATCCTGAATATAACCCTATATACTGTGCTGGCAGCATGCTCACATGTACAGGGACTGATTGGCAGACAGGAAAAAAAGACTTGAGTGCAGTCTTACCTTCTGAGGCACCTGCTAACTTGGGACATATTTAATAGCCTGAGGATACTGGAATTTGAAAATGTATGAACTGAAAACAGTATTTTTATAATGAATAGAACATTAGACCTTTTTATATAATAGCACTATAGTGTTGTAAGATATATCATTTGGGGCCCTGTAATAATAAAATTCACTATAACCAAAGTTTTCACTAAAAAGCTCTTTGGAAAGTCTCTGTCTATACTATGTTACAGAAATGAAAGTTCTAGAATATAGACCAGTGCTGTCCAGTATGGTACCAACAAAGCACATAAGCTGTCAAGCACTAAAAATGTGCTTAGTTGTACTTCACAGGAGAAATACAATTGGTCAACAAATATATGGAAAATGTTTAACATTTCTCTAGCAATTAGAGAAATGCAAATTAAAACTACACTGAGATTTCATTTCACTCCAGTCAGAATGGCAAATATCAAGAATACAAGTAACATTAAATATTGGTGAGGATGTGGGGGAAAAGGTACAGACGTACATTGCTGGTGGGATGCAGATTGGTGCAGCCACTCTGGAAAGTAGTATGGAGATTCCTCAGAAAACTTGGAATGGAAACACCATTTGACCCAGTTATCCCACTTGGCATATTTCCAAAGGACTTAAAATCAGCATATTATACTGATGTGGTGTGGAGACATCAATGTTTATAGCAGCTCAATTTGCAACAGCTAACCTATGGAACCAATCTAGGTGCCCTTCAACAGATGAATGGATTAAGAAAATGTGATATATAATATATATTACACACACACACACACACCCAACACGGAATATTACTCAGCCATAAAGAAGAATGAAATTATGACATTTGCAGGTAAATGGGTGGATTTGGAGGCTATTATTCTAAGTGAAATAAGCCAATCCCAGAAAACCAAAAGCCAATGCTAATATATAATAAGGGACAGGGAAGGGAAAAATAGAAATTCAATGGATTAGACAAAGGGGAATGAAGGAAAGGGATGGGGATGGGGAATGAGAATAGGAAAGACAGTAGAATGAATTGAACGTAACTTTCCTATGTTCACATATGAATACGTGACCAGTGTAACTCCACATCATGCACAACCTCAAGAATGGGAACTTATACTCCATGTATGTATAATGTGCCAAAATACATTCTACTGTCATGTATACCTAAAAAGAACAAATTTTTAAAATATGCCTAGTTGAATTTGTGATACATTGAGTATAAATGTATTTCAGGTTTTGTAAACAGTGTGAAAGAGTAAAATAACACATTAGTTTTATATTGATTACATATTGAAATGATAATTCTTGGATATATTGAGTTAAATGTTAAAGATAAGTTTTACCTTTTTCCTCTTTTAAAAGGTAGCCACTAGAAGCTTTTAATTTACAGATATGGCTTTCATTGGGTTTCTCCAGGACTGCACTGTTCTATACCAACCTTTTTACCCCAAATTACAATAGAGAAATAAAATGTCTAAAAAATGTTTTTTAGGTTTTGGCAAAATGTCTCCTTCATTTGTAATAGTGAAAGGATGTGTGAATATCTTTGGGTACATAATTTTCTAACAATGCTGTCAAGATAAAGGCTTTTCTCATTTTGCTTTTAGCCCTTCTAGCTTGAAGCATTTTTTGGAAAAAGAAAAAGTGATATATTTTTTTTAAAATTTGTGTTGTGTTTTGTAGATTTTCTTTCTTTTTTTTTTTTTTTTTTTTTTTTTTTCCTGGAATAACAGTTGACAGTAATGTTATGGGTCATCATAACATGTGACGTCTCTCTGTCCAGTCTCTTGTTACTCTGCCATTTCATAAAGCTGATGCTTCCTGTTGAATTGGATTATATCTGCACTAAGTCACAGTGTTATTTTTTGTATTTTTCTTCTTTTTTTTGAAAAGGGAATTTAATGAACCACACAGATATCATCTTTAATCAGCAGAACAGTGATGAATATTAATAGGATTTAGTCCTAGATTTCTCTGTATCTAAACTCATTTGAGCTCATAAGAATATATGGATAATCTGTCTTGAAAAAGTTTCTTTCTGGTCTCATTGCCAAGGATTAAAACAGAATAGTATTAAAGAAATATTATTTCTTTCTCTGTCCAAGTTTTTAACATTTTTCTTTTGGGCTATGCTATTAGAAAAAAATATTTTTTTGGAGGAGGGGACCTGTATTTTTGTTATTAAAATAAGTGACAATATTCATTAAGGGGAGGAATTTTTTTTTCTTTTCTTTTTTCTGGTATGATTTTGTTTGGAATTTTTCCCTGAAATAAAGAGAGTGATTGAAATATAGCCCTTGCAATCCAAGAGATACCAACCACTGTGTTTGGTGTAGCTAGTAATGCTCTTGCTTTAGGCTTCATTATTAGTTATTCTAATGAATTACCACACCTATGAAGGATTAAGCTTTTGGGTATGGTATTGAATAACTTGTCCATGATAAATGCAGACAAATAGTCTTCGTGCTAATTTGATTTAGTTTTTTGGTATTATCCCATTTAAGTTCTCTCATTTTTATCCTTGCCAATCTAGCGCATATCACGTACTAATACATCACTAGGTATGAAAACAGATTTAGGGTCTTGGAGGGCCCACAGCTTGGCTCAAGGACTGAGATCAATAACCAGCAATTCAGCACTGACTGTTACCCTAGCCCAGTCCTAACCTTTCTTCCCTCTCTTCTTGTCTTTGTGGTGAACCACTTAAATGATGTGCTCCAAGCCATGTCCTAACTAAATAGTAAGTGTAACAGAAATGATGACAACAGTCTTTTCACACATACACACACCCCTCTCCAAAACTGGGAATCAAAAGGATGACTCTGCTGCAGCTTCCCTTACTGCATATCATTTCGCATGCCTAATACATACTAATTATTATACTGGGATATTCCAATAAAAAATGAAGAACTGAATTCAGACATATTTTCTAGCCATTATAAGGTGGCTCTGCAAACAGAATTTTAGCAATTGTATTTCACAGCTAAAGTGACTACAGCATTCAGACTGGGAGATAGCTTCTATATAACACAAGAAACCCCTTCCAAATCATGACTCGTTGAGGGCACCTGGCTGTCTCCTAGGGAAGGCACTCCAGAGTGAACCAGTTCTCTATGGGCAGCTTTACCAGAACGCCAAACATGTAAATGGTTATTTCTTCATTGAGGATAGACAGAGATCTTGCTGGAATCGGATGCAAGCAAAATGACACATGGATGGTAAAAGAACTGGGAGTGGGGAGTGTCTAGTTCCAGAGATAGCTAGCTGTTTTTGAGTGTGCCATTTTAACCAGACATGGACTTGAGGTGTTGGTGGAGATCAGTTTTCTCCATTATTCTCCCCATTGCCGAAAACTGTTTATTGGTCATGCTTATGCAAATAAATGACCCTTTATCGGGTAGTATTTTCAATATAGTATAATTTATATTCTACTTTTTTGGTGATTGAATTAGCATTGCATGGTAATTTGTACCTGTCTTGTGTCTTTTACTTGGTGAATATCTGAAGGGAGTGGGAAATAAACCCCTTGCTGTTTCAGTAAGGGCATAATCGCCAGTCACTAGTTAAATCCAAATATATTGTTATAAAAAACTGATTTGTCCTCTCTTGCCTTATAGTCTTACTATGAGAATTTTTTGATATCAAGTATTATATTTGTGTTTACCTAATATCTCTGAAGAAAGTGTGGTATTTGTAACTCAACTGTGTGAATGTTTATTGTTTATTATTTCAGAAAATAATTTTTTGGGGG